AAATGGTTGTTGCGCTATCATTCATCATCATCATTAGTAGTAGCTGTCACCTACTGGAAGAGGAAGGTGGGGAAAGGTGGGAAATGGGGCACTCAGAGGACCAAGGTCGAGGCAAGGCAACCAGGAAGGTGAACAGTGGGAGCAAAAGAGAAGAGTCAGGAAGTGTCAGGTGATGAAAATAAAACAATTTCCTAATGAGCTTTAGTGTCCTTTATTCAAGGGAAGACAATCCATAGGTTGGGGGTATATATGGCCTCACAAGGGGTGGGGCACCCTTACTGAGGATTCTGGGGCAAGGGTTTCATTGAGCATTAGAAGCAGTAACAAGGATACCGAGTATGACTGGCTATGAGGTGAGGGTTTCCTTATAATGCCAGCGGATCCTCTTTTCTAGGGCCAGTTAAGCTAGCTCCAGCTGTCTTAGTGGATTGCCACGGGTGCATGTTAGGTTTCCTCAGTGAGGTGTGTCAATAACTGAGGCCTGACAGGTTTGTTTAGATTTGGGATGTGGGCCAGGCCACTGGGTCAACCTTCATTTGGTGGATCCCGATATAGGAATTATCTTTGTCAGAAGGTAACATTCAAAGTCTTTGCTACTCAGAGTGTTGTCCGAGGACCGGCAGCAGCATCACCTGGAGCTTGTTAGAGATGCAGACGCTTGGGCCCCAGGCTAGGCGCACTCACTCAGAAGGAGCTTCTTATGAGGCTATCCTGGTGACCTGCTTGCTTGTTGGTGCTAGAGAAGCCCAGCTCTCAGCAGTAACCAGTTTGGTGGGGCAAGTAGAAGGAGGACTGGAGAGATGGGATGGGGCACAATTCCTCCTCAATGTTTCCACGTGCAAGTTGTTAACTAGAATTCAGTATTTGTTTATAATTTTTTTTCCCTTTGAGGTAAAAAAAGGTACATTGTTGTCATTGTTGTTTAGTCACTAAGTCATGTCCGCCTCTGTGATCCCATGGACTGTAGCCTGACAGGCTTCTCTGTCCATGAGATTTTCCAGGCAAGAATACTGGAGAGGGTTGCCATTTCCTTCTCCAGGGAATCTTCCCGACCCAGGGATCAAACCTGTAACTCCTGCACTGGCAGGCAGATTGCTTACTGCTGAGCCACCAGGAAAGCAAAAAAAAAGGGTTTATATACCATGAAATGTTCATAACAACTGTCTCTTTGAATTTTCAATGAATGCATCTAATAATGAAACTAGAGTCCAATCAAGATATAAAGCATTACTGGAAATTAGAAAGTTCTCTCCCCAGTCAATCCCTACCCTAGCCCCTAGAGGCAATTGCCATTCTGATTATTTTCCCACCATAGATTATTCTGCCAGTTTTAGAACTCCATATAAATAGGATCAGACAATAGGTTATCTTATGTAATACTTTTGTCTCTCACATAATGATTTTGATTTTGTGTCGTGTGTATCAGAAATTCGTCCCTGTTTATTGCTGAGGAGTGTGCTCTCACGTATGTATGCCATGGTCTATACATCTGCTGGCCTGTTTCTGGGTTTTTGGTTATTATGAATAAGGCTACTAGGAACATTCCCCTATGAGTCTTTTTTGTGAACATATATCCTCATTTCTCTTGGGTAAATACCTAAGAAGTGTAATTGCTGGGTCATGAAGGAGGTATAGGTTTCGTTTTTATAAGAAGTCACTAGACTTTTTTCCAGGGTGGTTGTACAATTTTATACATTTACCAACAATGTATGAGTGTTCCCGTTAACAATCTCATTAGCATGTGGCTTTGTCAGACTTTTCAATTTCCGCCATGGTGGTGGGTGTATAATGTGTTATTTTATACTTCCTAATGATGACTACTGATGTTGATTATCTTCTTTTATGTGCTTATTGGCCATTCACATGTCTTCTTTTGAGAAGTGTTTGTTCAAATCTTCTGTCTATCTTTAGGTGGGGTTGTCTTTTTACTACTGAGTTATATGAGTTCTTTCTATATCCTGAATACTGGTCCCTCGTCACATATGTTTTGCAGATATTTTCTGTGAGTGGATTTTTACGGGAATATTAGGTATTGGATTTGGCCCCAGGTGGGGCTTATGTGGGTGCAGGGCTGGAAGTTATGTGAGCCATCGCCTTTAGGTTGTGGGTTGTAGGGGGCCACAGCCCCCTCCCTCCCAGGGCTGGTGTGAAGTGCAAGTGAGATAACACAGGGGAAAGTCCTTTGTAAAGTGCAGGACATGCAAAGATTTAACACTGACCCTTTGAACATGTCAAGAGGAAGGTTCATTTCTCTGTCTTCTTCCCATTAGCGCAGTCTCTCGGCAGCAGGAGACAGGAGAGAAAAAGCTACCCATTGACTGGAAACAGTCTCTCATTAAGATCTGAGTGGTTATAGTGCCTGAAACACGGTACAAGCTTGGCATCCCACGTAGGTTCAAATCTGGGTTCTGCCAGTTACTATTTGAGTGCTTCTGAGCAAGCCCCCATTTCATGAAAATTGGAAACAATAAACACCTACCTCCCGAGTCACTGCGTCATTATTATTATTTGCAAAATGTCACGCTGAGAGGATTGCGCATATTGTGCAATCCTCACAATGACCTTTTGTGTAAGTTGTATCAATTTCCGCCCCCCCCCCCCTTAGTAAATTATGGGTTATTTAGATGCTCCTAGAGTCTGTAGGCGGAGAAGGCAATGGCACCCCACTCCAGTACTCTTGCCTGGAAAATCCCATGGACGGAGGAGCCTGGTAGGCTGCAGTCCATGGGGTCGCTAAGAGTCTGAAACGACTGAGCGACTTCACTTTCACTTTTCACTTTCATGCATTGGAGAAGGAAACGGCAACCCACTCCAGTGTTCTTGCCTGGAGAATCCCAGGGACGGGGGAGCCTGGTGGGCTGCCGTCTACGGGGTCGCGCAGAGTCGGACATGACTGAAGCGACTTAGCAGCAGCAGCAGAGCCTGTAGGAGGCTGCGTGGAGGCTGCTCTCCTAGGAGTCCTGTCTGGGGAGTGTGGTTCCACACGTCTGCTCCACACAGAGCCACCAGGGGGCGCACGCCTCCTCTTCAGGGCTTGCGTTGAGGCTGGGCCGTTCCCTGCCCCTAACCCTGCCTCTCACCGCTGCCCAGCTCACGGGTCCAAACTGACCTCGGTGGCATTTTCCAACGGAATATAGTTTCCAGAAGGTCCTCATTTGGGGATAAGGGGCTAACAAGCCCGAGGAACCCTGCATGGGAAGGCCAAGGAGGGCAGCGCTGGTTTCTGTCCCCTTAAAGATTTCCTTGGCTCAGGGGGTTCACGCAGCCTGGTGGGCACAGGGGAGGGAACCAAGCTGCCGAACGGGTTTCTGTGCACCCTACCCCCAGCCTTCACAGCCCTGTCCCCCTTTGGACCTCAGGTCTCCCCCCATCCCCTACCCCCAGCCCTTGGCAGTGACCCCTTGGTGAGCTACTTCCAGGCCATCTTGCACCAATCCCTTAGGCGAACAGGCCTGGGCACTGGCCCCAGGGCCCGGCTGCTGCTGGGCAGAACTGCTGTCCTGGCCAGGCCTACCTTCCTGCAGGAGGCAGCAGCAAGGCCCTCTCGGCCACCACCCCCACCTCCACCTCAGGAAGGACCAATGGATCTCTTGTTCCTCTTTTCCTCCCAGCAGGGGTTGGCAGGTCAACACCTGGCCTGGGGTCCTCTTACACAATCAAGCAATGGCCGGTCGATGACTGACCAGGCCGGCCCGGTACTTGGTCATGGAGCGTGTGTACCTGGCGGGCAGGGCCCCTTATTCTGGAGACTTGCTGTCTCAGGAGGGAGATCTAGAGGGTATTCTTCATGGTCAGCCAGCACTAGATGGGCCACCCAGCTTCCCAGAAGCCTGGTTCCTTCTTGTCCTCCAGGAGTCATTTGATGGAGCAGTGGTTACTTTTCCCTCCTGCAGCCTTCCTACCATTTTTGTCCTAGTCCACCTGCCTACCTGTCTGTTGGTGTCCTAGTCGGTGGCTCGGTGGGGATAGAAGTGGAGATACTTCTGCCCTCACTCATGCTGACCATTGTCCACTTGTCCACTCCTTTGTCCGCTCACCCTCTCATCCAGAGAGTGTCTGAACAGCTCAGTTACTGGTCTTGGCACTGAACCCAGCCATTAGGGAAGCTCTAAGTGACCGAGGGCAAAGCTTTTGGGGTCAGAGAGACCAGATGTGAATCCTGACTGTACTGTTTGCAGGCCACGCGGCGATGGGAACATTTCTCAAATCTCCGAGCCTCAGTCTCCTCATCTGTAAAATGGGGATCCTCTTCTGTAAAATGGGGACCCTCTTCCTCCCAGGGTGGGCAAAAAGATTGGCTTCGGGATTAATTAAGGTGCTTTACCCAGAGCCTAGGGAACGCAGTTGTGATCACTGGGCTTCTCAGTGGCCATGTCCTGGCTGTGGGGACGCCGCTTGGCCTGTTTTCCATGGCTGCCCTGAGCCTCAGGCTACACCTGGGACAGGCAGGGGCTCATCCCTGCCTCTTGGCCAGGCTGTGCTCCCTGGGCAGGTGGCCCTCACACCCAGCCCTGAAATGGAGGTCGATAATCACCACCTTCCCACACACCCCTTCCTCTGCCTTCTGGCCCGCAGGGCACTCTGGGGTTGCATCAGGTCAGCCAAGACACCTGGAAGAACCAGCTTGCTCCCTCCCCTTTTGCTGCAGGGTCTGCATGACAGCTGTGGAGAGTGGGGGGGGGGTGCCTAGAGCATCTGACCCCTCAAAGGGTCATTTCCCCTCCCCTCTGAGGCCTATATGTGGACCTGTCCGTCCCTACCTTATTCTCTTCCTTCCATAGGCCCTCTGGGGGCTCCTTGGGAGTGGAAGGTGCTTCCTGACTGCAGGAAGCCTGGCTGAGCCAGAAGGGTCAGTTGGGGTGGGGGAGGGGAGCGGGCAGGAGCAGGTTGGGGTGGGATTTGAAGTTAAAGGGGGTCACTTCCCTCTCCTGCAGACAGTCTGGTCAGGAGGCTGCCCAGTACGTGGGGGAGCGTTGGATACCAGCCTTGTCTTGGGGATAATGTGTACAACTGTGGGTGTGGACTTCGGGGTGGGTCCGACCACAGTGCAAACTCTCCACTGGTCCTGGCGCCTTGGGCCAGTCACTGATAAAAATCTTAGTGGTTTAAGAAATGCATGTGCCTGGCACCGAGGGGAGGCCACTGTGGGCAGTGGCCGTGTACCAGCCTGGGGGAGTTCCCAAGTCATTCGGCTCAGCCCAGCACCCCCCAAGGCCGCCATCAGGAGCCATGCAATGGTGCCCTTTGGGGGCTCTGGGGGGTCCTTCCTTCCCCCTGCGAGTCCTCAGGGGAACTTTCTGGGGACATTTCGGCTGGTGAAATCCTTCTGGATCATGAATGGGAGTGCAGGTAGGGGTAGGGGCTAAGGAACCCAAAGCCCACCCCGGCCCAGGTTTTCAGCCCGATTTGCCAAGTGAACCTGTCGTGTGTATGGATGGGGGCAGTGTACATGTCTGGGGCGGGGAGCTTATCATCTAGAAACAGGCTCAGCTGCGAGACGCGTGGGAGCAGCTCACACTCACGCTCGAGCAGTGGCTGCACATAGAGTGGGGGCCCTGGCTCTGGGCTCCTTGCACCAGGCCACATGGTCACTGTTTGCATAGTCTGCTCAGTTTCAAACTCCCAAAGGAAGAGGACTATTTGACATTTTTTAGAAACGCTGTATCCTCTTCCCAGGTGATGCTAGTGTTAAAGAACCCACCTGCCAAAGCAGGAGATGTACGAAACCCAGGTTCGATCCCTGGGTTGGGAAGATCCTCTGGAGGAGGGCATGGCAACCCACTCCAGTATTCCTGCCTGGAGAATCCCATGGACAGAATCCCATGAGGAGCCTGTGGGGCTACAGTCCATAGAATCGCAAAGAATCAGACACAACTGAAGTGACTTAACACACACACACCCTAGATGGGCACGGGCTGACACAATGGGACGAATGGATGGATGGATGGATGGATGCTAGGTGGGCAAGCGGTCAGGTCAGGGTACATGGACAGTGAATATCGCATCCTGCTTGGGCATCAAGGAGTCCAGGTGGGCATCCTGGTGGCCATCCCAGTGGTCTGTGTATAGCCTGTCTTGTGCCTTCCACCTGCCCTGCAGAGGGAGGCTGGAAGGGCTGGCTCATGTGCAGCCTTCTTGACCAAGGTCAGGGCCTCCCCCACCCCATTCCATTACTGGGTCCCAGAACCCACTTTCTGTGCAGGGGTTGGTGACTTCCTCAGCCACTGTAAAGGCAGGAGCCACATGCCACCTAGCAAAGAATGGGTGCTTAATAAATGCTTGTGGGTTGAGGTATCTACTTGCTGGGTAGGCCGGCAGCTCTGCCCAGGGCCATCAGCCAGCTGGGGACAACGCTCCTGACCTGGCCAGCCCACCAGGCTGCCCCTGGATTGAGGTGCCTGCCAGCCTCATGACCCAGCTGAGAGGGAGGTTTTGGGGCCCAGGAGTGCCCTGAGGTTGGCAGGGACCTGGAATTCCACTCAAGGAGGCAGCCTCTTCAGCCACGCTCTGGGCTGGCTTGGCGCAGGGTGACTGGGAGGCCACCTCGCCCACACCTGAGAACCTGTGCTGAGAAAAGGAGAGGCCATGCCTGGGGGAGCTGGAGTCCACTCCCAGAGGCAGCCCTCTCATCCTGGGACTCGGGCCCAGGCTTTGGGGGGCAGGCCCGCTTGTGGAAACGGCCACGTTTCCACTGTGTGGACTCAGGCTGGGATCCAATCTTGTGTGGACCAGCTGTGACCTTGGGGTGTTGCTGGTTTGAGTGCTTCCTTGCCTATAAACTGCTTACAGAGATGCTTACATAGAATGGAACAGTATTCAGCCAAAAAACAGAATACTATGGTGTGGGTGAACCTTGAACACAGGTCCCGTGACTGAAGCCAGGCCTAAAGATGTGGGTACAGGATGCATCCCGAACAGGCAAATCCATAGAGATGGAAAGTAGATTGGTGGTTTCCAGGGGCTGCGGGGAGAGGGGATGGAGAGCAACTGATTAATGCACACAGGTTCTTCTCTGGGCTGGAGAAAATGAGCTGCAGCTCCGTAGAGATGGGGGTTGCACACTGGGCATGTGCTAAATACCACTGAACTGTTCACTCTAGGAGGGTTCGTTTTCTGGTATGTGAATCTCACCTGAGTGAACATTATAGGGTTGCTACTGATCGTGCTGGGCGATTGGGATGACGGAGAGAGATGTGAGGCTGATGTGAGGCTGTAACACTTGCTGCCCCCCTGGCCCCCCCCCGTCACCCCAGACTGTGGCCAGTGCACAGGCCCAGGCGGTGCAAGATGAGGCCAGGCAGTGAGCGCATCCTTTAACCAGAGGTAAAGGGGACTTCTGCTGCTGCCTCACCAGCTGTGATCAAGGTTCCCGTGCTGCGGACCCAGGCTCCAGCCTTGGATTTGCTGGGCAGCTTTTGGCTGGTCCTTCAACCTTGGTCCGTTTCTTAATCCGCCCAGACCTGCCTTGGCAAGTGTGTATGACCGCTACGTTTGATGCATCACCCCTGTCATATATCTCTGTACCTCAGTCCTGTCTTCTTCTCAGTGCAGGCCACTGTCAGGGAGAGTATAGGGATCACTCAGTTCTTTGTTTCTTGTCTGTCTTCCACCCAGAATGTGAGTCCATGGTGGGGAGGTCTGCTTGATCCGGTGTGTCCATGTTGGTATTCCCAGCACACTCAGTGCCTGGCACAGAGTTTAGTTCGGTCGCTCAGTCGTGTCCAACTCTTTGTGACCCCATGAACTGCAGTACACCATGCCTCCCTGTCCATCACCAACTCCCGGAGTTCACCCAAACCCATGTCCATTGAATCCGTGATGCCATCCAACCATCCCATCCTCTCTCGTCCTCTTCTCCTCCTGCCCTCAATCTTTCCAGCATCAGGGTCTTTTCAAATGAGTCAGCTTTTTGCATCAGGTAGCCAAAGTACTGGAGTTTCAGCTTCAGCATCAGTCCTTCCAATGAATATTCAGGACTGATCTCCTTTAGGATGGACTGGTTTGATCTCCTTGCAGTCCAAGTTACTCTCAAGAGTTTTCTCCAACACCACAGTTCAAAAGCATCAATTCTTTGGTGCTCAGCTTTCTTTAGAGTCCAACTCTCACATCCATACATGACCACTGGAACAACTATAGTCTTGACTAGATGGACCTTTGTTGACAAAGTAATGTCTCTGCTTTTTAATATGCTGTCTAGGTTGGTCATAACTTTCCTTCCAAGGAGTAAGCATCTTTTAATTTCATGGCTGCAATCACCATCTGCAATGATTTTGGAGCCCAGAAAAATAAAGTCAGCCACTGTTTCCCCATCTATTTGCCATGAAGTAGGTGCACAGAGTAGGTGCTTAATAAATGTCTACGGAGGGACTAAAGGCCAGAGGGTGGCAGGCCTACTGTCCTAAGTCTGTGAGGTCAGGGCTACCACTATGCCCACCTTGAGCTCCTGGTCCGAGATGCGGCCTGAGGCCTGGAGCGTTCCTCCCCCTCAACCACCCAGCTCCTCCCACTCCCAGGACCTGGGTGTCCCACACCCACTGCCCTGAAGCCTTTTTCTCAGGCTTGCAACCACCCCAGCGCAGCTCCCTTCCCTGAGAACCTCTGTCATAAAGAAGGTGAGGCCCTGATCTGGCCTGTCTCCCCGCCCCCGGGCTTTCCTCACCCAAGGGAACCTTGGTTATAAATATGGGGGTCACGCCTTGCATGCGTATTAGGCACCTTTCATCTGGGGAGCTCCTGGCTGCGAGGAGGCTAATTAGCGGCTCTCTGGGAAGGGTGAGTAAGAGCTGACGTCGCACCCCAGGCAATGGCCAAGTAGGCAGCATGGGGCCTGGCCTGCCTTCGGAGAAGTGGGTGCGCCCTGCTCTCAGCCCACCCTCCTCCACTTCTCCTTGCTGCAGGAACTCTTCACAAGGGTCCCTTCTGTCTTAATAATAAAAGCCATCTTTTATTGAGTGCTTCCTATGTGCCCAGGGCTTACTAAGCCCCTCCTGTCTACTGAACGCACCCTCCTGTGCAAAGCACCAGGGGGTGATTGTGAAATGATAACAACCGGGGCTCTCATTATCAAACCTCACTCCTCGCCGGCAGCAATCCAGGACTACGTGTGTGACCTCATGTCATTCCTTCCTGAGAAGCCCTTAGTGTGCCACCTCACATGGAATAAGTGCTTGATAAGTGGTTAGCTATCACTGTTCATCTGCAGAACAACCTGGTGAGGTAAGGTACTATGTTATCCTCATTTCTCAAGCGAGGAAGCTGAGGCTCAGAGAGGTTGAGCCACTTGCTGGAGATCACACAGCGAGTCAGGAGCAGAGCCAATATTCGAACCGGACTGGTTTGACTCTGAAGCTGCAACAGATTTCTAGGTGCTCTTCTCTCCCTTCCCACAACCTGGAGGTGATTAGCCCCAAGGCCTGACTTGGCATAGTTGTAGTGTCACTGAGCAGAAACCTCTTCATCCATCCCTCCAGCCATGGGTTGATGGGCTAGGCCTGGATCAAACACCTTGGAGACCATCTAACACAACTCATCTCCACCCCTATTTTTCCGATGAGAAAACTGGAGAGGGAAGTGACTGAGCAAGGTGACAGTCCTAATAAGAAGATACCTAGAGATTAAGCTTGAGGAATAGAGGCAGTGGCGTGGCTGGAGGTCACCTCACCCCTGCCCTCAAACTGGCATGGACACCACTTAAACGGTGCAGTGGTAAAGAATCCACTTGCATATGCAGGAGACACAAGAGATGTGGATTCGATCCCTGGGTTGGGAAGATCCCCCGGAGAAGGAAATGGCAACCCACTGCAGTATTCTTGCCTGGAGAAGCCCATGGACAGAGGCGCCTGGAGGGTTACAGTCCAAGGGGTCTCAAAGACTCAGACATGAGTGAGCGACTGAGCATGCACACACAACATCCTCGCAGTAGAGTCCTCAGCCCCCCTTTGCCATCTTGTTCCCTGCCCCCCTTCCCCTCCAGGAGCCGCCCCAGGGATATGTGGGTGGGATGTGGGTTCAGGCAGCTGGCTAGGAACTGAGACTGGGGTCAGGGGTGGGGTCCTCCATCTCCCTGCCCTGCAGGACAGTCCAGGGGGTAGGCCATGCCGCATGTGGCACACCTCATGTGTCACTGTAGTGACTCCAGAGCAGACACATACATAATTAAAAATGCTCACTGGAGAAGTGGCTGTATCCTGTACCCACAGGAGGGAGGAGATAAAACGCCCAATGTGCAGGTGGATAGATGGTACACCACGTCTTCTTACCATTGCTCACCTGGATTCATCAAATGTGGCTCTCCCTCAGGTTTTGAGGAGAAGCTCGCACAAATCTGGTTCAGGGAGCAGCAAGTTCATGGGCCAAGGGCACTTGGCTGAGGTTTCTGCTGGTGGGACAGGATTCATGGGCGCTGAGGTGGGTGGCTAATTGTCCAGCTTTCTCTGTATGTTGTCCCTTCTGAAGTGGATTTTGGGTACCAGATGTGTAGACCTGGGGACTCTGACCCTCTACATCCCCTCCCCCCCCATCATCCAGTTCCATCCTTCCAGCCTCTGCATCTCCATTTACGTCTATAGCTTCTCACCTGCTCTGCCTGCTGCCTCAGGCTCTCTCCCACCTCCCTGACATCTCTTCCCCTCTCCTGTCGGCCTCAACTTAAGAGCTTCCTCAGAGAGGGAACAATAGCCTCCTCATCCCAACTCTGAAAGAGTTTTCCATGTATCTAAGTTCTTTGAGCAGCTTCTTCTTTTCCTTCAGAGGAATTTGAACACTTTTTCAAAGGGAACCGTATTTATTTGTGAGATTATCTGTTAAAACGAATCTGTCTCTTCTGTTAGAGGTGGACTCTGTGAGGTAGGAACTTGGTGCTGGTCACTTCTTCGGTGCCCAACAGGGCATATTACACACCCAGTGAGTGAATCCTCATGACAGGAGGTGGAGAAGGAAATGGCAACCCACTCCAGTATTCTTTCCTGGAGAATCCCAGGGACAGAGGCGCCTGGTGGGCTGCCGTCAATGGGGTCGCACAGAGTCGGACACGACTGAAGCGACTTAGCAGTAGGACAGGAGGAGCCCCTGGGCCAGTGGTTCTATAAATGTCTCCCCAGGAGCCGCTCCCGGGAACTTGTTAGCAAGGAAATGCAGATTCCCTGACTTTGGGTATAGGACCTAGCAATCTGGGTTTGAAGCAACTGGGCACCCAGATTCAGGGGGCACTCAGGAGTTCAAGAACCATTGGCAGAAGCAAATGCCGTGCTGTTGGATCAGTGGCCATCGCGGCAAAGGGCCGCCTATAAAAGGCACTGGGGATGAGCAAGGCTACGTCTTCAAAAACAGCAAGGGGAAGACCTTTTCTAAGGAGGGCTGGCCGGCCGAGTGTCCGGGACCCCTGCCCCGGCCCGCCGTGCTGTTCGGCAGACGGCCACTGGAGGGCAGTGCGACCACGTGCATCGCGCCCCTGCCCGGCTGCAGGCGGGAGCAGACCGCGGAGGCCTTCCGGGAGACGGCAGGAGCGGCTTCAGGCAAGAGACAAGAAATAAGGATCGCGGCCCAGGCTGCGGCCTCGGCTCACAGATCCCCCAGACGTTCTCAGAGGCCGAAAGGGCCCGGCTGGAGCGCGCCCCCGGCCCGGGTATCGCCGAGGGTGGGTGGGGGGACCTTCCTGCCTCGCCCCCTCCAAGGCCAGGCCTGCTGCCTGGAAGGTTGGGAGTTTGGCTCGCTTGGGGCCTGGAGAGTTCAGCGGCCCCGAAAGTGCGGGACGCGCAGGGGAGGAGGCGCCGTCAGGCCGCGGAGGGCAGAGCGCCTGCCCGGGGAGGGCGGCGGGACCTTGACTGCCTCCCCAGAGGCAAAGGGCAGCCTCCCGCGTGACCCCCTCAGAAGTGCAAAACAAGGCGGCCATCTTGGCGGCGCCTTAACCCCCTCGTGGCCGTGGCGCCCGGCCCAGCCCGGCGCCGAGGGCACCTTGTGGGGTGGAAGCTGCGAGGCTACAGGGGGGACAGGACGGAGCAGGAATTTCCAAGACCTTGAAGAAAACCTTGGATCCTGGCAACTCCCCCCGGAGTGGTAGTGGTGTTTGGAAACCCCATCCCATATCCCATATAGCATTAGGAGCCCGAGCCTTTGTAAGTGAATTGGATTTGTTCCAGTCACTCCTTCCTTCTTTGCCCCTTATTCCAGGAGCAGAAAGCTAGAGGCAGCTCCCGGTGGTCGTCCTCAGGTGTCTGGGACTAGCCAGCGTCTGGCCCCCACCGGACAAGTGTATCTCACAGCATAAATGGCAGCTTCTTCACACGCAGGCCTGTCTCCAAGCCGAGCCAGGGACTGAAGCGGAATTGAAGTGGCCCGCTCCTTTCAGCTCCTCTCCACCGTGAGGACTTTAGCCGCCTTTCTGAATGCCATTTGAGGAACCACAGGCCCTCCAGGCTCCGCCAGTCCCGAGGTCTTGTATCTGACTTGGTTCACGCATTGATACTGTTTGTCATTTGAGTACTTTCAGCTCTTCGCATATCCTTTCTTCTTAATAGCATCAGTTCGTCAAGATCCAGCGTAAATATAAGCTCCATCAGGAAACCATCCTCCATTTCCCCCCTTCCTTTCCAGCAGAGACTGTCTTTTCCCTCCCTGCCCTCCTGAGGTTCCATTGGCCTCCACTGTAGGCGCTCCTGTTTTCCTCTCTCCTCTCTGAACTGGGGGCACTGGGAGGGTAGGGACTGTGTGACCGTGGTCTTTGCATCCCCGTTGGTCTCTCCTATAGGTCATACAGGAAAGGGTTATTCCAAGAGTCAAGAAATTATTGAACGGTTTTGGTGTTGTAAACACATTTTCCAAATACTCTGAACCTTGAGCGAAGGAACATGTAATGGTGTTTTATTAAGCCCTGTGATGGAATCCTTTTATGTTTAATTACTTTGTTATTTTTAGTGGAAACGCCAAAGTGCCATAGGAACAAAAACCATGGGTTGTAGCTGACCAAGAGGACTAACTAACCACTGAGCTCCAAGTGTTCTGTTGCTTCCTCTGTTGGCCTTGGGGTTGGAGCCTGTGACATGTGAAGGCTGGCCCCAAGGACCAGCGAAGGAAGGTCTGTGTATCTGACTGGGCTTGAGGCCGTGATTTCAGGCTGCCATCTCAGGATGAGACAGAAAAGAAAGTGCCTTGACAGTCTTGGAGAAGGTCGAGGCTAAAGGAAGAATCTTTTCTTTTTTCCTTTTAAAAGAAAAAGCCCAAGTGCCCCCACGAAAGACTCCAGAAAACCCCTTTCATGCCTCACCCACAGATAATTTGCTGAACACTCATTCAGGGGAAAACAAAGAGGTGGTTTTGTTTATTTATTTAAGAGGAAAAATAAATGAGCTGTGACAAAACAATTTGAAACCAGGCCCCTCCGAGACCTGGGCTTTCACTTCCTTGATGGGAAGTAAAACAGAGAATCGAATCCCCCTCCAAATAAAAGTGAAGTTAATAATCAGACAGCTCGAGCCCCGGCCACATCCTGTGTCAGCTCCCTCCCTCCCTTGGCTCACTGTTTATAGCTGCAGAGCCGCCCTCTGGAGCCCAGAGTCGACTTAACTCTTTCGTCTCCATCCTAGGGAAGCCCAACCCTGCTCTGAGGCTGGTAGGTTCCTCACACCCTCTGTGCAGGCCTGGCCTCCGCAAGGCTGGCTCTCCCCAGGCTTGCCCACGTGGGCCTGTCCTCCAGAGGGCTGCCAGCCTGCCTTTCAGCCTCTGGCTGATGAGTTTAACAAGCCCAGCTTCGATGTGAGTGATGTGCTCTGCTTGTCCTGCACAAAACCCAGAGTGGGCACAGGTGGGCTGCATTGGGTAAGCTCCCTGAGAGAGGAGCTGCCCTCTCTTAAGACACTAAACCGACTCCTGCTCTGGACTCAGGGCCTGTGCTTCCACAGCTTGGTGGTCTCCTTGAACTGCATCCTGCTGGGAAAAAGCACAGACCTTTGGGGCTTCTGGCTTGTGCAGAAAGCAGTGCTGTGCATGTGTCTGAGCTATTTTCTATGAAAACTCCAGGCTTTCTTCAAACGCCTTCCCTTGTTGTAGCCAGCCATTGTTGTAGGCAATGACCCAAGAGAGTCACTGTTACTCTTTTTACAGAGCGGGAGACTGAGGCGCAGAGGCTAAGTACCTTGCCCATTGTTACAGAGCTGGTAAACAGCAGAGGCAGGATTTGAACCCAGGCACTGGAGCTGTGAAGGGCTCACAACAGAGGCTGCTCTCTTCTCTGGAGCCAGGCGGGTTTCTAAGAGAGTAATCCCGTGAATTGCATTTCAAAGATCTCAGACTCCAAGGAGCTTTGTAAAACATTCAAATTTGCCTTGCGTCTCCTTTCTGTTTCCTTATTGGGATGAAGGTACAGAGAACATGCGGTGGGGTCCTGTGGACTGCGGAAGGAGAGGATGTGGGGGTTAGGATGGGACAAACCTTTCATCTGCTCGGCAGAAGGTTCTAGAGCAAGAATCCAAAGACTTGGTGTGGCTGCACTCTCAGCCCCCAGTCTACCTTCTGCTTTGACTGCCTCCCATGTCCCTGCTGGTTCTGTAGCCTGTGGGTCCCTCACCAACACCCTCTTCTGGCTGAAGCTTGTCTTGCAGGAAGCTACTCACCAGTTGCCTGGGGGCAAGTGGCAAAGACTCCTGAGCTGGCTGTGTGGGCCATATGGCCTCCCTGGGATTTCCTACTCTGCATGCCTGGACTACTTAGATTTGTCTTGGAAGTGTGGCTGTTGCCAGGTCACCTTTGGTGGGTCCCTCTGACCCCTGGAGGGTGTGTGAGGCTGCCCCCTGGTGTCTGGAGGTCATCATGCCTGCTTAGAGCTCCGGAAGCTCCCTGTGGGGGTGCCACTGAGCATGGAGCCCCCGCACCCCTTGTCCCCCTTTTTGAGAGTGATCTGACCTGCCAAAGATCTGTTTTCTTAGGATGCATTTCTCCATTCAAAGCCACAGCCCAGAGTGTGTAGCGCCCTATTTTTCATTTTCTAACTCATTCTTCATCTAGAGAGAAAACTCTGGGGGCTCTGTTCCTGTTCTTCCCAGGGGTGCAGAGCAGGGGTGGCCCCTCTGGGGAGGGAGGAGGCCAGCAGTGGCTCCTGTGTGACACCCAAACCCCTTTGGGTGTCCCAAATCCCCTTTCGACACTCGGCAGGATGCCTGGCCCCAAGTGGTCTCAGAGAATGTGTGCCTTGATTATCATTTAATTTATATGTTTAAGTGGAGCACCTACATATAAGAGTGCTCAAGATGGGGTGGCTCCCCCTTGGCCCTGATAGGCTGAAGGTTGACATTTGCCAGAACCCCCTCAATCAGACCCAGTCTCTATCAGTGCTAGGGCACTTTAGGACCATTCATCTCATTTACCCCACACCCTGGGAAATGGGGTACGTGTGATTCTTCCCACTTTCCAGTTGAAGAAAGTGAGGTCAGAATACTTGTCCACTCTGCTATCATGGGTGTCTGCTAAAAAATAATTTTCACTGGGTTCAAAAGCAGTGCAAAGGGACAATAATGAATGTTTTTTTCTCCAGGCTCGGAGGCCCTTGAGGGGCAGGACAGCACTCTCTTCAGCATGTTTGGGGCACTTTCCTCATCCTCGGGTGGTGGTCTCCCTGTCTGTTCTCCAGCCCTTCCCAGCTTCTGGCAGGCCTCCCTGCCTTATCTCTTGTCCAAGAGCACATGTCCTTAAGAAGTAAATATTGTGTTGCAAAAACCAGTAAGATGAGAATCCCTCATTGCACATTTTTTTCAGCTTTTATGAACTTAAAACATTATGCAAAATTTCAGACATATAAAGGAGCAGAGTGATATGCTGAACACCCACATACCCATCACCAACATCACCAATTCCTGGCCAAGTCTGTCCATTTATGTCACCATCTGCCTCCCCACATCCCATATAATTTTTAAAGAAGTCCAATGTATCAGGTCATAACACTTCATCTTTTAGTATTTCAGTATGTATCTCTTAAAAAAACAAACTCATTACACTTATGCTGTTCTTATTTCATTTAAAAATTAATAATACTGCCTAAATACTAGCAAGATTGATCTGCTCTTCACCTTTCTAGAACATTTTTTGAACTTTTTGCCTTTCTACTTAAAGAAAAAAAAAAAGAAACATGTATTTCTCAACATCGGGTGATATCCTGACAATGGCTCCTTCTGAATTTGGTCAGAAACGCCCAGTTATTAATTCTCGGAGGCCAGCAATCATTTCTAAAGCTTGTTCCCGCTACTGCCCTCTGCTTGGCCAGGGCTGTGCATGTAGTGGGGGCCGGGTCAGTGTGAGCTTGAGTCAAAGATGCACACAGGGAGGGTGGGGATGTGATGCGTTGAGCTAATGCGGGAGGACTGGAGAGCAGCCCCCTGCGTCCTCCCACCCACACTCTGAGTGGCTGTCCTTGGCTTTCCATGCAGTGCTCCACCCGCCAGCTGCCGGGGCCTCCTAGGGGACCCTCTTCTCTCTCTTGCTCCAGATACTTGACTATTTTCCAGTGACTCCGTGGAACCCCACTTTGTGGGGCCTCCAGCCGTCTCGGGGTTGCCAATTTGCTGCTTAACGTACAGCAACAGTTGACAGGGTGGTTTCATGGTGGTTTCATGCCAAGTGTTTGCTCATCTGTCCTCACAGCAGCGCCAGAAGATGGGTATTGCTGTCACTGCCATGTCACAGCAGATAAGACTAGGGGAGGGCAGGTAAGTGCCTTGCTGGCCGAGGAAGTGGCTGTGCCAGGATTTGGACACGGTCACTCTGAATGTTGGGCGCTCTCCATTGCAACACTGGTTCTCAAACGTTAAGCCTTGTTTAGCAGACTTCTAGGCAACTTGGCCTAGGACGGGGCTTTTACCCTTTTGAGGACAAATTTTGACAAGTTGGGATCTGCAGTCACCATGCACTTTTCCTTGCAAAGTTCACATCTTCCAGAATAGATATAGCATGACTTATTATTATACACGCCCTTATTAGGAGATTAGCTCAGTTGAATGGAATACATTTTAGGTCATTCAGCCTCTAATTTCCTGGTTTGTCTTTTTCACGGTTAAATAATAGTTTGAGTCATAGATTACAGGACTGTGACAGGTGTGAAGGTTAGGAGGGATGGGAAGAAGCTGGGTTGAGTAAGGCTACAACCTAGACATTACCCTTTCTGTACATTTGGTCACATCTCTCAGTGTTTGATAGTCTGAAAAATGTGACTTTTGGAACGTACAGAATCAGGGTCGAATACTTAAGAATTCTTGGAGCGAGGAGGGCTGGTGCAGGCACAGTGTCCTTTACCCCAGTCAATCAGAGTTCAGCCTGTGTGGCTTCCCCTTGGCTGAACTTTGCAGGAGCAGTTTTAGGTGGCCTTGTGAAGCTCAGTCCCAATCCACTGCGAGCCTGTCTCACCCACCGCGGACAGCCTGGGCATGAAAGCTGGGTGCTAAACTACATTCACTCACATTCTTGATTTTGCCTTAGTTTGCTTAAGCCTTTTCCCAACTCCTGCTGCTCTAGAGAAATGGAAGAGTGGGCATAGGTGTGTTTGATTAATTAAGGGAAATGGAACAACCAAAGCAGACGCAGGGGAGAGGTGCCCTGGTGGACTCACAGAAGAAAGAGAAGCAACCGAAAGCTGAATCACGAGTCCAAACAGACAAGGGGAGAGGAAGCGGTGTTTGCTGTACATGTTCAGGGGGTTTATGGACACTAGGCAGTGAGGCTGAACTTCCAGAAGCTGTCTGCCTACCATGGCAATGAAAAAGCTGCCGTTATCATTAGGTCTCCTTGGGAATGTCTAGAGAGGAATCTAATCATCTACATCGTTACCAAAAGTTGCATTTGCTGGGGCTCCTCCAGCTTTTGCCTCAGTTGGGTATGCCAATATTCCATGAACTCCTGCTCGTCCAGGAATGGTGTGCTGGTGGGTTGGGTTTGCCTCGGTGTGCAGAGAGGTGCCTGGAAGATGCAAAGCTATAACCCAGCTCCATCATATGCTTCTCTTGCTCAGATCCTCCGGTGAGTCCTCCATGGAGGCACCACAATGAAAGCCACAAGAATTTGCAGTGAACTAGACTGGCTTTCAGCCTTGCTCCAGGAAGATCAGCCCTCACTCTGCGAGAGACCAATGGGAGGAGTGAGTTGGGAGAACTGTAGGAAAAACAAGAGCAAGAAGGAAAGCTTGCTTGTCTAGAACTGTCCTTGTTCAGTGTTTGGAAGAGTCTGTAATCCATAAAAAACATTAAGGCTCAGAACATTCCTGAGTGTGGTTGGTTGAGGGTCAAAACAGTTGTTTTAAATCCACTGCTGCCTCTTTTTCTCTCCTGGGTCTGTATTTCTTGTTTTTTTGGTGTTGTCTGCTTTCACATTCTTCTCTCTTCAGAATATTCACATCTCCCCCACCCCACCCCCTTCTTTTTCATTCTCAATTCCCCTTCCCACCCCACTCTGCCTTCTTCGCATAATTTTTCTTTTCTTTTGGCCTTCCTTGTTCTACATCTGGATTCCCGGATGGTTTATTTTGTCTGTTTCCTGAATTTCCCTCCTCTCCCATTTTTTTTTAGTTTTGTTGTTGTTGATGTTCTTGATTCTCTTTCTTCAGCTTCAGTTCTTTCCCCCAAAGCTTTCCTTGGGCCACACAGGCTTTTATTCTTGCTCATCTGTTTAAGCCGTGCTGGCAAGGAGGAGACCACAGCCGGCAGGCAGGGCCATAGTGGCAGAAGAGGACCTGGGAGTCTGAGGATTCTCCCCCAGCTCCGGTGTCCTTGGAAGACGGGCTTCCTTCTGGAGAGGGGGCTGGGCTTCTGCTGCTCCCCCCCGGGAGGCTGGACGTTGCCTGCCAGGCCCCGGCTGAAGGTTGGGGGCAGATGGTGTTTCCTCCACGGTGTGTGGGCCGGGGCCCCATCTCACAGGGCAGCGATGGAATCAGCCCTTCTCGGCGGACAGGTGGAAGACTCATCAGGTTCCACCCAGAAAGGCTGAGGCTCGGGGGAGGTGCCCCGGAGGGGAATGTATCACTTGCAAAGCTCTGTGCTGTGGGTGGGAGGACCTGCTGTGTGGGGGCTGCCTCTCGGGGAGTCTAGGTATCCTGTGACCCTGGGTCCCTGGTCAAAGCTGGCCTGAGCATCTGGAGCTGCCTACGGGGAGACTGAGGCAGTTCTCCGGTGGCAAGTCCTTCCTTCCCACCCCCTCCCCCATCCCGGCCAGTGGGCCTTTTGAGGGCCCAGGAAGAATGCAAGAAGAGGCTGATAACCGCGAGGTGTCTTTAAAGGCTCTTAGCCACTGGGAGCCGCACAGAGCCCATCTGTAGGAGGCCCTGAGGGTCAGGTCTGGTACCGAGAGAAGCAGGTGGCACTTCTCGATGGGTGAGGTGGCAGAGAAATCCTAGAAGTCACAGCCGCACCCCTCCTTGTCTGGAGTTGGGGGCGGGGAGCGGGGGTGAGGAGCGCTGGCCCCTGCTCCCCAGCTGTCTGAGGCAAATCAACTGGAGTCCATCTGGCTGTCCTCCCCGGCCCAGGCTGGCGTCCCACCCTGGGCCATCAATGCTGCTGGGTGCTGGCTGAGTCCTTGGCGGAGGGGCAGACGCCTCAGTGCTCTGCCTGGGGCACCGCGGCAGCTGGGCTGCACCCTGGGGCAACGGGGCCCAAGAGCACCAGGTGCTCTGGTGTGCTGCCTGCTCCGAGGCCCTGTGGGGATGGCGGCCACTTGCTTCTCTGGAAGTGCCATCAAGAGCCCCTCGCCTTCTCCCTCTGCTTACTTGCCAGGTCCCATCTATCCTCCT